TCCACGGGAAGAAACGCGAGACGGCACGGAAGCCGGACGGACGGAAGTCGGACGGTCGATGGATCGGAAGTCGATCCCGGATCGGCGCAAATCCGCGGTGGTCAAGATTGCACGGATCGCCGACACCCGCCGAATATCGATGCGGCCAAATATCTCGAGTCCGCGCATTGTTTGCGCTTTAGTGATTTATGGTAGGTCGCCTATGGGGATTTAAGGGGATCGCGGACTGAACTGTGATTCATGTCGAGTATAACGTTTGTTTTATCGAGAAACGCAATGCAGCGAAAGGCGAATCTTTTCCTTTTTTTCCTTTTTTTTTTTTTCACGTTCATCAATCCCAAAGTTGGCGAGCTCGCAGTTGCGTTATAAAATATGGAGAAAATGTGATGCAATTTTGAAAGACGTAATTTTAAATTGTGATAAATAAACGGAGGCAGAAAACACAGAGAATATATGATTTTTCATATAAAAACTGTGAATTTCAAAATATAAAATGTATACGTAACGTATTATTTCTGTAAATTCACCGAGTGAAAATAATGCGAGTGAAAATAATGTGAAAATTATTTAACAAATAACAGAAAACTTTTGCCTCATTTATGGAGGGTGTTGTTTTATCTGTCAATAAAGTTTATTAAAAATATTGTGAGGCGATCATGCATATAATAGCGACATGGGCCAACGGTTTATTAAAACATTAAAATGACGGCCGATGGCTCTCGATCACTTATTTTCAGTTCTCACAATGCTACACGCAGCAACAATTGTAGACCATAGACGCAACAAAAGCGAGGATGAGTGCTTTGTTTCGCCCTTCCGATGGCCTCTGCAGCTGACGCGTCGTAAATTAATTAACAGATAATCGATACGAAGACATCTTCGATATTCATCATATAGCTTCACGTGTACCAAATCGATTTTCTATGAACCGATTACGAATTTTCATTACTTCGAAATTATTAAGATTCGATAAAAGTAAACGCCAAGGAAATTCTTTAGGTATTCCGTGTATCGGTTGGAGGAGCCTGTCGTCGAGCACACGGTGTACCTTCAGGTTTACGAGAAACGCACTTTAGCAAACGGGACGACTTATTGGAAGGATCTCACCGGAGATTCCGTAGTCAGGTGAGAGTCACGCGGTTAAATACGCATCCGAGCGATGTTCGAAGCGGCCCAATAAACTTCACGCTAGACAGGTCGTTTATGCCATCAGATTGGGCACGTTCAACAGGCATCATAGAGGCAGTCGAGATACGATCGCTTTCGCTTACAAGGAAGTGAAAATGCTGAGGCGGGAAGAAAACGAGATTCCTAATTTGGATGTCGTTCATGATCGTCTTTTGGTACCGTCAGTGACATCAAAAGGCTCTGAATATTTTGCCGAGGGTATCGAACTCAGAACGCTTCACTGCCTTTCTCTCAAAATTGTGAATTTTGTTACGGAAAATGTCATATGAAACGGAGAGTAAATAATTATTTAATATTTACAAGAAAGTTAACGATTTTTATCCGTAATTAAAAAGACATAAAAATATATTTTACTTAAGATACAACGAAAATGCAATCTCGTTTAAATTTCAATCTTTCCTTATTTATTAAAAATTTAATCAACGTTTTTAAATAGCGGAATATTGCAAATGATGCAATGATTGCAATAATGCGAATAATGCAAAATTGAAATATGCATATGTAGCAAATATGTAGCAAAATTTCAATTTTTTAATACTACACTGATTAATAAAATTCGTAATAAAAATTTTAAAAATCTATCAAAGAGAGAAAAAAATAATTAATGTCACTAGACTTTGTAAAGATGTCGACACAATATATAGTGTGTGTAACTTAATGTGAACTTAATGTAAAATATTTCGTTAAATGACAATATTTTGGTGTTTGATGTAGGGGATTCGAGTGAGTATCTCGTGGTGCCAGCGAGCAGCGTCAACGAGAGTGGAAACGAGTGTGACAAAGCGGGCGTAGGATTCGCGGCGTTCGTGGGGCAACCGGATCGGTGCAGACGTGTCAAAGGAACCTGTTTGAAAAATCAACCGCTGGCCTACCGTAGGCGCGACGCGGTACGTGTGACAGGTGCAATAAATGAAACAACACTGGAAACGGTCTGTCCTCGGGCTATCCGCGGTCGTCCCGCGTTCGTCCCGCTTCGTGCGAGCGAGCGCGAGACGCTTTTAAGTGCGGCTCGCCCGCCGTGTAACATGATTTATCGCGCACGAATTTAATACTTATACTCGTATAAAGCGTTGCGAGAGGAGATTTGTCCCGGCGACGCGAATGGACAGTCGCATACAAATCGGTCACCGGGGCGGGGAGGGGGAGGGGGAGGGGGTGGGGGGGGAGGGACAGCGCGGATTTTTGCCGTCCCTGTGATACGCGAGACGAGGAATTCGAACCGTCTCGTTTTGGGCGAAATACCGAAATCTGTCTCGCGTTCATAAATGTTCGCAGCGAGCGTCGCTGCGACGCCCGTTGTCATGTTCCGAATTATTGTATCGCGAATTCGCGATTTTTCTCCTGAAATTCATTCTACGAAACGACGCATTGTACATCGGACTTTTACGATGCACGGGAGGATCCAACCGAGACCAGTTTTTACAGTTTTATATTTTAATCAATGCTTTCAGTCTCGAGTAATTTTCACTTGAAAAAAACTCGCTTAAAAAATTTGATCGATGCGCACTAACTGCTCGAGTCTACTTTTGTAAACATATAAATTGTAATTTCAGTAAGAGTCTGTCCCTATTTCAACATTGACATATTAAAAAGATCGCGAGCGAAAGCTTATAAATGGAAACTCTTTTTCATCGGGAAGGGACGGAAGATGTACGGATTAGATTTCACCCGTCAAACTTCAGAACCGCGTGAACTATAATTCGTCATCGGCGGAGTTTATCGGTGCGTCACGAACATACGCCGGAAACCACCTCGCATACCCGCGAACATTTCCGCCAGCCGGCTGTCGAAGGTCGGGACGCTGTTCGATCTAGTGTCACATGTCGACAGGAAGCTCGCGCGGCCGGGCGACCTGGTTGCTACTTCTTGAGCAATTTCGCATCCGTGCCGAGCGAGCCCATCAAGTACAGCGCGAACGGAAGCGGAAGTCACGAGTTCCTCGCTCTGGAGTACCATTCGCCGCACGTGTCTGCGATCGACATCGAAGTCGAGGCGGGTTACAATGCCGCGCCCGTGGGAGGGTGAGTCTCGAGAGGAGCGATATCTATCTACCCCTAGCTAGACGACTGAGATTACCAACTAACCAGTTCGCTTACGCTTCGCGCGCTAATTCCCTCGTAATCTGATTTTATGATTGTTCCGAATGACTTCCGCTCACAGTTGACTAAATATTTTTTCTTTGAAAGAAGTTTATATCTAATGTTGCTAGTAGTGAATAGAAAAATCAATGAATGATTATATCAATATTTCAATAAATAGACTACGTAAATATTAAAAGAATCGTATAACGGTTGTTAGCGAAATTGAAAAAAATATTCTCTGATTTTTTTCGGTTTTTTTCGCTCATTTTTTGGAAAATCTGGAATTAATTAAAAGAAGCACATAATAAAATAAAAAAGAGAATATTAAAATTTTAATTAATTGTTAACAAATATGTACAATAGAAAATAGAAAATGACAAAACAAAACGTAACTTTTAATTATACTTGTTAATGCAAATCGCTCGCTGCAAAATTAAATCATAAAAATGTTTATAACAATGCTTCTTTGAAATAATTTAAAAAATTTTATTTAATAATTTTTGAAGAGATAAAGTTTAAATTTAGAATTGGTATTACAGTAATTTTATTTTAGACGAATAAATTTCTTGATTCCCTGACTTCTCCCGATTTTTCCCCGATCACTAACAATCCTATATAACAATATTTTATAAATAAAATTAATTACTAATAAAATCTAAATGCTTCGATATAATTTTCTGAATTTCTCAGATAAATTGCAAATGTTTAATATAGATTAAAAATAATTAATATGTAATAAAAATGTTACAGATACTCCAATATAATTTTCAATTAAATCATAATCGTTTAATATCTTTGTATCTTAGATCTCTAGGTTGTATTAGTGAAGTGCACATAGACAGCACGGCACTTGATCACACTGTAATAACAATTGTGATGAGCAACATAAGACTAATTTCAATGTCTTATCGATCAAGAATTGCAAAATGTCCCGATAATCTTCCTAAGTCTTGGATGAACGCTACGTTTTCTAGAAAGATAATTCAACCTCAACAGGATCAAACAGTGAGCTTGGACCTCCACGGCGAGCTACCCATAAATGAATTTTATTGTTCTGGTAAATCTAACGATCTAATGTCAAAAATATCACTTCAAAAATCCACATCTTTACGTAAAAGCAAAATTAAAAATTCTTAATCTAAGACAATTTGATAGTCTTTTATCTTGAATTGATTGACCTTTTTACGAATTTTTTTTATAGAAGGAGAAGAAATTGATTTGATTTACCGTAAAGTTATTGAATTGTAGAATATTGGATATACACGCTATTGTCACACCGCGCGAAATATATGTTAAAAATTATACGTATTCGAGCAAACGTTGCGTTGAACGGTTGCGTTTCCAGTGCAATTGTTAAATCGTCTCGGAGAACTGGTGGCCACCAGAAGAATAAAAATACGGAAAATGGATCGTTGCTCCTGCATGCTGCATTGCTTATGTGTGTGCGTGAGTGATGCGCGTGGCACAGACTGCAGACCGATGTCACTGGAACTTTATCATGCCGCTGGATTTCGCGGTTCCATCCCTGCACCCTCCCACAGAATTTTTGAAATCGTGAACATCCTACTCTTCGTTGTCTCGTCAATGTTGCTCTTGGTTTTCATGGGTCAGTAATTGTATAATTATTTTACTTAACAGTTTTTACTTTTATATATCAAATTTTCGAAGTTCTATTCTTTTAATTCTTATAATTTTCCCCAACCCAAAATATTTTATCGCATTGTATTTTTAATTTTTTTTTTTTTACCAAAATTTCCAACCAAGTTTTCGCAGAGCTCATATTTAACTCATAATATTTCTACAGTTTAATCGTTTTATCTTAGAATTATGCGATCTAATTAATTTTTAATATTCATAATGATAATATGAATATCGAGATACTTTTTTCTAGGTTTTCTGAAATGGTTGATCGGCTTGTACGTACCGTTGGTAGGTCGTTGGGGTTTGGATTCTCTATTGAAAACTGATAGAATGTCAGAGTACTTTGAACGAGAATTAAAATATAAGTATGTGATAAGGGATGAACATGGCGCGCCTGTACATCCAGACACACGCAAAAGGACCGTTAGAATATGCTGCAGGTACACAATAAGATAGCTGTAGTACAATAGAATAAATAGTCAAGTAAAAATATATAGTCAAGTATACGTGGCGTGTGATTCGACGAATGCGTTCTGCAGGAAAGCGGAATTCTTCTTGAATGTGATGTTCTTTTTGATCTTTCCGTTCGCAATTTGCTGTCTTTGCCTCAAGAAACCCTTTCGTCAACCCGCCCGAAGACGTTGTTGCTCAGATGAATCTAAAGTAAGAGCTATTCTTTTCCGCCTTTATGCCGTATGTCAAATTGGAGCAGAATTCCTTGGCAATGTAACAATCCTTATTTCCTTCCTTGCACGTATTGGATCTTTTCGTTTAGATCAGCTTGACAAGCGACAAGAGCGAACATCCGAGAACGATCTGCGTGAGCATTTATGGCGATAGTCGAGATTCGCGGATGGAAACCGAGGATACCAAGTACGTGATGGACGAACTGAAGAAGTCTGAGGAATCGTTACGTAGCCGTACTAGAAGTAAAGTAAGAAATAGAAGAGATAAATACAAACAACAGAAACCAACAGATGAGAAATATAGATATATAATAGGTCATATTTGCAATAAACTTTCAGTCTATTTTTATATGTTTTCTCTAACAATAGACTACTAATAAATAATAGAGATGGAGATGGATAGATAAATGGATAGATAAAGTTACTAATAAATAACAGAGATGGAGATGGATAGATAAATGAAGAAAGAGAGAGGGAGCGCAAGAGAAATTATTAAAAAACGTAAATAATTTTACGTTCCGCGCATAATATTTCATTAAATTGCTGTTAGAAAAATGAGAAAAATCTTAATTAAAGTTTGTAATATCTAATATATTACATATACGGTCCGTTTATTACTTTGCGACTTATTTTCGTTTTTATTCCAAAAAAATCCCAGAAATCCTCTTTTCTTCATTAATTCAGTTTTTACAAAAATAATCTCGTTAATTTTGATTATCTAGAATTAAGAACACCCCGGGGACCGTATTTGGGAATCCAATTTATCGTCACGTTCCGAAAGTAGAATGTATATGTATACGCAGGGAGATTCGAGAGATTAGAGTGCAGAGAAATTAGAGCACTGGATACGTGTAAAATATAGGAAGAACGTAAACGCGCGCCAGCGAATGGGGTAATACGTGACCCCAAAATGGCAAATGGGGGGCTACGACGACGATTGGCCCGATAAAAGCGATATTTCACTCGTGCATACGCGTAATCCGCCATTCGTCATAAATGTGACAATAAAGTAGATGTTATTTGTCATAAACTGTCGTTGGAATTTCGAGGAGACGAAAGTCTATCTGCGTGTTTATTTTTAACGTTTTTTTTTTTATAATCAAAGCGTAGTTAGCTACTTTTTTGGATTTATTATATCGTTTGCGAACATTATTTATCAAGCGCTTTTATTTATCAAGATGGTTGGAAAAATGACGTAGAGAGTGATACGATCTTATTCTCTTTCAGAGAAACCGTTCCACAAAAGAATATCATTCGTCTCATTAACGTCGCTCAACGTCGCGAACAATGAAATAAGTTTGACGTAATTGCCACAAAAATATCGAAACTCACCTTGGTCCGATGTCCCAAATATCTTTTTAACTATCGTTAATGTTAATGATAAAACGTTATTGTAATGTATGAAACATTATAGTCAATAAATATAACAATTAGTGATTTATCTGGAAATGCACTTAATAAAATTACATTTAGGCGGATTTAAAATCTGATATCCATGCTAAGCATTAGAAATTCAGAAATTTAGAAAAAGGAAAAAATTTTATCCATGCTAAGTACTAATTATGCTATACACACGCACGCACATCGGTAAGTTATTATCATAATCATCATTACGTATGTATATTATGTACGATGGCGCATCGCCAGCGTTTAATTTTCCAGGTAGGGGTATCAACCATAATGAAAATAAATTCATTTATACAATTCAGGAGATAGCCGCGGGTTGAAAGAGCGAGCGAGCGAGCGAGCGAGCGAGCGGGAGAGGAAGCGAACGACGACGGAGAGGGAAGGAGGGGGAGGGGGTGGAAGTCCAGAGAGGAGAGTTATGCGCAATGCGGTTGTGCCGCGAGACTCGGAGAATTTGTGACCGCTTCCGGCGGATATCTATGGCGCGGGTGGGTGTACCCGGGTCTAACCCATTTTTTCGTTGAGTACTATTTATGTACACCATCTGGATGTAAATATTCATGCGGGACGCGCGCGCATATTTGCCGTGCATCGCGTTCTACGGCCGCAGCGAATCGAAATAAATGTCCGTCTCGCGAAAACTGAAATTTCACCCCGCGAGGTGTACGCTCGCCGTACGGCTTCGATCCTCCCTCGATCGGGCAGGGACTCGACGGTGTTTTATTCTCGTCTTCGATGCTTCCATACGGCGGGAAACTCGGTTATCGTAACTCACATTTGTCTACTCTCGCGGTCGACCTCGTCGGTGTTCCATTCCGCGACGAGCGGACTTCTAAAGCTGCAAAAACTAATATAACGGAGAAATAATTCCGGAAAGAATTCAATTACCGTGAAAATATATATAACGTGAGATTCATCTGACTGTTAATTATCTAGAGAAAGAAAACGATTTTATAAAAAATAAAAAGCTAAAGTTCATCAAATATGCGGTTCGTGATCTGTTTTTAAATAAAAAGAATTATTTTTTTATTCGCCGTGTAATTATATTACAAAATAAACATTCAAAATTATTGTGAAATTGTTATTATTTATTTTGTGATTGCATTTAATAAATCAAAATGAGGAAAATCAAATTTGAGGGAATGGAATAAACGAATAAATGAATTTTCAAAATAAAACACATACACATGCTGCGTTTGTGAATTTTATAATACCAATCTTCATGACCTCAATTATCTAATTTATACTAAAATTATATTTTGTTAAAATTAGTATTATTATAATGAAAACGTTAATATAAAGAGGTACATTACGAGTAATCTAATTTTACAATTATTCCTGTTGATATGATGGATGTAAAATTCCACAAGTTTGTTATAATAAAATTTTGAATTTTACAAAAGATAATTACATATATATGGGGAAGGAAAGTCAGTTGAAATTAAAAATGAACAGACTGACGCTGTGTGCATTTCTCTTAGAATTAATTTACAATATTTACTTAAGCGTCAACAGTATAGCGTTTACAGTACAGCGTTGGACGCCGTCGATCCAGAGATGAAAGTCGGCTTATTTTCCAGTCGAGATTTCATGCAGAAATCGTACGTATGCTCTTAGCGACGCATAACCATCGTACAAAGTCTATGCAAATAGTACACACCTGCGCCGATTTCCGCGTGCCTGTGTACAACGGCGCGGAGAAAGGCCGTTCGTTTTCTCATTGTAATCCGGTAGCCTCCGGCTTCTCTTTCTCCTCGGATCAGCTGTACTCCACTGACCGCACGAGAACGGTAAATAGATGAATACAGACGGAACGGAACAATGGCGAGAGATGAGTAACATCGGCGGCCTGCCGAGAAGAAAGATGCGCCGTGTAGGTTCTCGCGATCGGATTCACACTTCGCGCAGATCGGATGCAAAAAGACCGAGCAACGAGCAGCGTCAAGCAAACTGACGAGTCTTATTAAAGATCTTATCGCGCGTGAATAATGACAACTCCATGCCAGTAGCACCGTCTCGGAGTAGCAAAAAATTCAATAGTCGATCTAATCAAACTTCCTCACATTCAGGATAACAAATGTTAGATCGCGCGAGCGACTTTTAGTTATCTTGGAATTTTCCAAAATAGCAAACAATTCGAGAAATTAACTTTTGTAACTTTATGCAACTCCCACAAATGTAATGGACGTTAATAAAAAAGCGAATCCGTCGTAAAAGAATTTACGATATATTCTACCTTGTTATACTATATTGCGTAATATTACGTTATGTCGTACGTAAAATTTTATAGTCTAATTACTAACTGGAAGATCTAAATATTTTAATGAAAAAAGCCGAAAATATTTTAACGAGATGTAAAATTTGCATAAAACTGGATATGTGAAGCACAACCCTCTCGGTGGAATTCGTTATATTCGTTATATTCGACCGTAAGGTCTTCGTGACTTTAAAATAGGAACTCGTCTGATCGTTCCTATTTAAGAAATGGTAAAGAATGTTCGTAAATGTTTTATATAACGTTAGATAATCGCGCTTGCGATTCATAGCGATGATTTGTCCGAGAATTTCGTTAATGCACTCGCGGGACCGACAAGAATTAATGGCCCGCTTTCGAGGAGCCGACGTTCAAGGTTATTCGCGAGATAACGTGAGTTTTCCGTCGTCACGAGAAGGAAACCGGGCACATACCAAATATTTATATCTGCGATTACATGAGAAAGCCCCCGAGGATAAGAGCAACTTTGGTTCGAAGGAGGCAGCGGCGGCGGCAGCGACGGCTGCAGTTCTGCGCCTCACATGCCGGAAATAAATAAACCGACTTTCCTTCCCGCTGAGGATATCGCGATGCTCGGTGGCTCCAGGGCTACGGATGTTGATGTTTCATAGCTCGCGAGAAACCTGAAACCCTTGGGGGCATCGCCGTTGCTCTTAGAAGTTCCATCCTCCTCGCGCGCGGCGCTTTGTTTTAATACGACGAAGTAATGGGATTGTTGCGAGCCCAGGCTCATCTGCTGCTCTGCCACGACGAACGTGGAGAATAAGGAGCGCAGCGGTGTTACTTACGACGTTCGGCTTTTGCACACCTCTGACCGGGATGCACGCTCGCAACGAGATCAGCAAAGCCGAGGAATATCCTACACCTTGATACGCTTGACCGAGTCGGAATGAACACGTTTACGACTGTGTACTTTTTTACCTCTCATTTATTTGCGTGATCGAAGGTGTAAAGTAAATGTAGTTATTGTAATGTAGTTATTGTACTAATGTAATTAATGTACGTAAAATATTAATTTCAGATGTATAAAGAAGAGAGAAGATATATTTTTAATATTTATCAAATGTAATTGCATAAATGTAAATAAATCAATTAATAAAACATAAATTATTTATGAATATATTTATTAAATATATAATATTTTATTATTTTACTTTAAAATTCATTGTTATAAATAAGTATTTTATTGTTAATTATAATTATTGTTAATATTTCGAAATATAAAATAGGAAAGAGGAAAGAGAATTTCTTATTAAATGTTACTAAATTGATAATATTTAAACTTCTTTTATCAAAAATTTAAATAGAAGCTGAAATTAAATTTTGACTAATTAATTAGTGAATTACATCAATAATTAATGTAATGTAATGCTAAAATAAATTTAAATAGATATAAAATTGACACAATTATCTCTTTTAGAAAGTAATCTAAATATGCTCTTCTCTCTCTGCGATCTGCTTTTTCAATATCTCTATTTTTATCTCGGTTACAGTATTTATCTCGACATTACATTGATTATTTAATCTAAAAATTGTTGAGATATCTAAAACATTAAAAATTAATTAATGTAAAG